TCAAAATTAATGTATATGTTGTTTTCACAGCGACGAGAGGGTCTCTTGTCGCTGCCTTGATTACTAAGAAATTAAGTACAGCAACATAATCAATGGACGCTTATTTGCTTCTGAAATAAAATTCTTATTTGCTTCTAAAATTCTAAAAAAGACTGACATTCTTATTTGGATTTTCTAAATTATTAAACTAGTGAATGGTCTTCCTGATGTAAAACATGTTTTTTTTTTTGTTGCAGCTTCCTTTGAGTCGATGTTTTTCCCAAAACAATGACGGAATAATTTCTTACTGCAAATATAAGATTACAACACAGCTCGTTGGTTGAATTATTTTATTCCTTATATTTCATTTTATTTTACATTTCCGATTTACTTCATTCTCCATCAATGCTGGTAAAGATTCTTAATTGAATTCACTAGTCGTTATTCATAAAAGTGTATATTTTTCATCCGAGGTGCAACTCCCGTCTCATTCACTCGCGTGCATCACGATGAGATGAGAGCGACCTACATTCATTAACATGTATGCCGCCGCGGTGCTACGAGAGCCGCGCGTTCATTCATAACTCATTCATCATCATAACGCGCGTTCACAACTCATTCATTATCATCACGCGCGTTCATTCATGTCTCCAACAGAAGTGAAGCAACAAGAGAGACGAGGTTCTCAGCCGCTCTTATAAACCAGTAAAAAAAAACACAATTGTCTGTATACCACTCAGAGTTTAATGGACGATACATAGAAGGATGGTTTGTGTTGTTCTTAGGAAAAGGAATCGTCAGGACTGACAATTCGTCCCACAGACTTAAGGTTTGATGCAGATGTGCATCGGGTTATAACTAACATGGAATCTAGTGTGCAGTCATTGTATGAGAATTATAAGAGTAAAGATTAATCTAAAGAAATAAACTGCTAAACCGAGTCATCAAGAGTGAATCATCGTTCGGAAAAAACATTGTAGAACACTTTGTGGCGTCGCTTTAGCGTCACCACCAAATAACTTTGGGAATATCCAAACAAAAGTTTATTTTTTCACAAATTTGCATTTATTTTCCGATTAACAACACAACTTACAGTCCACTGATCACATTTTTATAGACGTTATTTAGTACCATTATTTTAATATTTAAACGCATCTGGGATTAAGCCTCGTGCAAGACGAGCGACGGTTGCTCGTTTGCACGTCAAAATTGATGTGCCAAATGCGATGCACTCTTAGTCTCAGTGTGAGTCATCCTGACTCAGTTTGGCTCTGAAGCATGGCGTATAGGTGCTACGTCCGCTCTCTGCTCATGCTGTGCAGAAGAAAGGGACTCGCAATTTGCACCAAATGACACATCCCTTCTTTGAGTGTTAAGTCTTTATTAATTTCTCACAGCGGTTTTGTGTTGACCGCGTTATACTCCGTAGATCAAGATGATATATAATAATAATAATAATAGAAGTTTCAGCGTTTGTTATAGAATAGAATAGAAGTGTCGGCGTTGAAGAAATAGGCCCATGGCCTGTTGCCGATTCTTGAACTTTTCGTGACTTGATTCACAAGGGATCCGGCCTTTGGAACCCGATCT